CTTATAAATCACAACGCAATGCTAAATAGTTAGGTTAGATTTTAGGTAAATTTAATTTGCGTGAGGTATGTTCTTAAAAGGCACCTTAACACTTAAAAACACAAATATATTTATAATAGTTGTTGTTTTCTCCACTGAAGATTGAGATTAGAATCTTCCCAATCTGGAATAAAATAAGGCTTTTTTTTGCAGACATTCTGCAGCTAAACGAAAGAAAGAAATCTATTTTAATAAATTGAGGTATTTTATATTTATTTCGCAGCATACATAAGGAAAAAATATGTGCATTAAATTTTGTGATGGTATGTCATCATACTGCTATAATTAATTTCAGGATTATGGCAGAGAAAATTTCCTGAAATTTGGAAATATTATTTACTAATAGTAAATAAATTTAGAGGGAAGAAGCAACATTAAATTATATGAATAACATAAAAATAATTACTTAAAAATTGAATTATAATAATTAATGATATTTTAGCGAATATAGTTATATTACATGGCTAGCCTAGATGACTGATTACTATTTTTTTTATTTTACTGCAAAATGGCAAGGTATTTATTAAAAAGAAAAAAAAAAGGTTTAAAAAGATTTTGCGGTAAAATTCTAGTATACAGTAAGGCTTTGGCACGGTTTTGAAAATTGTCGCCAAGACCAAAATGACCCGTTTACTGCGCATCATGATGTCACCAAATCCCATTATTATTCTAACCAAAGAACGTCTATGTAAAGAAGAAAAGGTTCCATACAAGTAAAATTCTATTACGCCGCTAGAATGCGGAGGGAAAATTTGCCAAGGGATTTGGCGACGGAACCTGGTGGCCAGAATTTCCCTCTTCACGATGTGTACAGGAAATTGAGAAACACATGTTAAGAAGAAATGCTCTTTGACAAAAAGAAAACTACGAAAATCCGTTTTTAAATTATTGCGAAAAATCCAAGAAGAAACGTTTTATCAAAGGGCGTTTCTTCTTGGATTTTTCACAATAATTTTAAAAACGGATTTTCGTAGTTTTTTTCCCCCTGAAAATAACTAATCCATGAATTAATTTACTTGCGCCAAAAAATACTTTCTTTTCCTTTAGAGTTTAACCACTTGCGCTAAGACTAAACTTCACGGTTGCGACGTGTGCACCACGTTATTTTTATTTTTGTGATAAATGCTTATCGACGTGGTGTTCACGTCGCTCGCGGTTTGACACAAAAGCATCTTGACGTGCGTGGCACATCTTTTTAACGCAAGTGGTTAAAGAAATTTTAAACGATATTCATTTTATGAACTCTTGATAACGTGACCTTCGAACTTCGACACCGGTTTCGAGCTTTGGCGACAGATATATCAGACATGCACAGCTGTTTCCCTCTATGATGGAACAGAGCCACAGCCACGTCTGTTGCAGAGAGGTTTTCCTTCTTTACAATACATATTCTTTGATTCTAACCTCCATGGTACCATATACTAGGATTAAACCCATTTTGTTTATACAAGAATGAACAGGTACTTTCTTTAGTTCAACATGCACTGCACATGCGATTCTTAGGATTCTCGAGAATACTGGAAACCAGAAGCTGCAGAAAAGTTGCTTTGCCTTTCTAAAAGACAATCAAATTGGAGCTGCGAAAATTGGCTCTATGCCAGCTACCCGAATGACACTCACGTGGTACATAATTCGCCAAAAACGTTATCTCTTCCGACGTCGGCGCAAAAATCGCTTTTTTTGGCGGGATCATTGTATGAACTTCCCCGACTTTTCCAAATTTTAACAAAAATACTTAAATTCCCTGAATATTTTGGTCAATTTTCGAATTCCCCTGACTTTTCCCGGTTCTCCAGGTGCATGGCAATGTATATGCATCGAGGTTTGCGAATTTCGCTTTGCAATGATTTCTGGTTTCAGATTCCGGTGTTAGAATCACTGTTGCTGTAAAATTTCAACAGCTTTTCTTTATTTTTCCGAATATCATACACAATCGTGTTGCAATTCCATACCATTCTGCTATAAACCGACAAGTGGAACCTGCCTCCATCTTTTGCAGAATTTGCACTTTTTGTATTAGCGTCAATGCAACGTCTTTACATTTTTCAACATTGCAAGCAGTAAAATCCTGAGTGTGTTTATTATCTGTCTTTGTATTAAAAAGGGCTGAAATTTAATATACTCTTAATTTATCCATAAAATATCCGAATAAAAAAAAGGCAGCACTATATAATCTCATGAAAAAACAAAGCTCAGAAAATTCAACAACGTGAATCGTGAACTTGAAAGATGAGTTGAGTGAATCGTCTGCTTTTTTACCTCGAAGCAGATTAGAGGGGAAAAAAACTTTTATCATGATGTCAATAATTCGGTATTTCCGTTATGACTCATTATTATTTGGTAATTATGATGTCATTATACGGTAAGTATTTTTTCTTCATTATTTCGTACTCAATGTTGTGGTTTCCGGAACCTATAAACTGAATGTTTATATTTTGAGAGGCAACGCGGATTTTAAGAGTTGGTGGATTTCAGGTCGGCGGATTTTCGGTATTTGACGGTATTTGTTAATGCACATGGTAGCTTGATGAATTGTTATGCACATGTTTGGTATATTCTGAAGCTTTGGTGATTTCTAGTAATGTGGTTGTGATAATACGTACGTACATTTGTTAATATATGAAGCAGACTATATATTTAACCCTCTACTATACATTACTGCACGATCATTTCACTCTCAGCAGTCAATAACTAGCAGCTTTCAAGATTTTTCTTTATGCATAATTAGTAGTATAAATCATGGACAAAAGCAAATTAAACACTGTCATGAACTTGAACATGATCGAAATACTTAGTGTTTGATATAATCACAATACTTCATTACATTCACCTTTAGCTTTAGTATAACAGCTTTATGGGTTACTTCCCTCCAGCATTTTATATAAGACATCATCCTAACACAAGTACCAAATAAATAAAATTGATGCTCAGAAATGCACTAAAATATTGTAGCTTGATGTAAAGTGTAATCTTGAAGAAGGAGCACAATGTATTCATATTGTTCAAGATATGCTTCAATATATTGTTCAAGATATGCTTCAATATATTGTTCATGATATGCTTCAATATATTGTTCAAGATATGCTTCAATATATTGTTCAAGATATGCTTCAATAAAAGGTAGTTGTAAAACAAAGCTAAAAAGTTAGTTTAGCTTTATCTTCTTCATAAAAGTAAAAACTCTTTCATATTTTTTTTTTTTCACCTAAAGTACAAATGCACACCTTCTGTGAAAAAGAAATTGTATAAACTTTTGTGAGGCAGGAAACAGCTTGAGTACAGTAACAAATGTTGGATCATTTCAGTTACAGGACACAATACATCAAACAGTTCTTTTTAAAAACATACAGCACAAAACTGAAATCCAGAGGTACAATAAATGGAATGATATATTATCCAGACCTCCAACAAAAAAACAAAAAAAAAATTTTGCTTTGAAAATTTTCTCCTTTTCCTTACACAGCTTACGAATGGATAAATAATTCTCAAGCATAAGCAAGTGAACCAATCAATTTTTGATCTGATTACAGTATTTCCCCCTTCTAAAAAATGTCATTATCTGCGATAATATTGAATCCTTCTGCATATTATTTCAATATTAAAATACTTGCTGGAGAACAAATCAGATTTTTATTTTTGGCTCTCAAATGATAGAGGAGGCAACACTTTTCTATCTTATCTAACCTGTACACAATAAGAATCTGAACCCCAAAGATCAAAGTTTGTTTGGGGTGGAATATTGCACATAAGTTTCCTTTTGTTGGTGTAGCAGGAAAGAAAGAGAAAAAATTAGTTCTGATTAACTTCAGTCAAACTAGCACTACAAATTGCACTTTTCCTTAACTTTCTGAATTCATTATGCTAATTATTTTCTTTGGTCTATTGTTATTATTATTAGTTTATTAAAATTTGTTTTAGTAAAGAAAGTAATAAAGATAAAGTAGCTTTTTTAAGACCAATACGACAGTAAGATCATCCTATCTCTAAAATATTTATATAAAATCTGCTGTGTGAAGCATTGCAAGGTCATGAGACAAAAGGTCTGCAGATGTTTTTTGAAAATGCTTCATAGGTGGCAAAATAGGCACAGAAATATTTATATTAAAGATAAAAGTATTAACACATAAAATGTAATTACTTAAACAACTTTATGTCCAAAAATGTTTTAATAAAATAAAACAAGTGTTAATGTTGAGCCTCCTTTTCTTTCTTTTTTTTGGGGGGAGGGGGTAAATTCTGGTTCCTTTAAAATTATAAATGCTTTGTTATTTCACAAACAATCTTTCATACTTTTAATTTTTTAACTTCTGCATGCAATCTTACAAGATTTAAATTAATGATTTAAAATCAGGAAATTTTCAAAATTACCAAGACACTGACAATTCTGAGTCACAGACATGGCATTGTATATGTCCAACTCGGAACTCTGAGCAAGAAAACATACTTTAATGATCAGCTCATTTTGGTAAAATTTTCTAAATATACGAAATGTATATTTTATGTTATTTATTTCAATAAACACAATACAATGATACACTTTAAAGAATTTTTATTGGCAGCACTTACTTTAAAAACAAAAACACTATTATAAGAAATAAGAACAGGTGTTAGTTAATGGTGATCAACAGGCAACACTGAAACACTTATCTTTCTTTAAAAAATTGTTGGTATGTGACGTGCTATAATGGAAAAGATCCTAGATCCATAATTTATAAATTCAAAAATATATCATAAAATCTTATATGGCAGATTTATATATCATATCATTTAATTAAAGGTGACAATTTCATGGAAATAACAAGATTCATAGGGATTCATGAAAATAACAATGCAAACAAATGGCAAAGAAAATTACATACCTAGAATTTTAATTAACTTTTACTGTAAAATATGATGATAAAAATTATCTATAAAGTTAAAACTGTTTTCATCTTAAAAATAATATCAACTTATAAACTTACGCTTTCATTTGGCCTCCTAACAAACTCCAAATCTCAACAACATAACCATTAAAATTCTTCTCCTGAAATTATGCATTTATATACTTTTATCAAATTTATGAAAATTTAAATACAAACTGTTATAACAATTCTGTTACAATAATGTTAAAATTTTCTCTGTGTGTGTATATGTATATATATATATATAAAAAGAGAAATATATGAAAAAATGGAATAAAAATTAAGAAGGAAATGAAAAAATATATTATATATATATAATTTTTAAAGAAATACAAGCAGAAAAACTTTAAGGAATTTCAAAATTTATTTTAAAAGGTCTTGAAAGGAAAATCCTGCACTATCACTGTCAAGATTAAAAAAATTAGATTTAATAGAGAATATATTAGTGGATCCTGCTAAATGTGAAGTACAGTTTAGATAGTAAATGTGTACTGTTGTGGAAATCCAATCTCGGATTTGTAATTAATTAACTAGAATTGGTAATTAAAATGCCAAATTAATAAAAAAGTAAATTTAAACAATTAAAACAAGAGAATCATTGCTGATTCCACAGAAAGATCCCGACTTTTCGAGGGGAAGTGGAATCTCTCTATACACTCGCCAGCAATTCATGATGACCACGCTTTGTATTTTCCTGTTTCTGTGATTTAAATTTTTAATAAATTTTTTTTAAATGTCAAATAATTTCAAACATGTGAAAAAATTCCCGACATGATCATAGATAATTAAATTTAAAAATACAGATAGTATTCATACAGAATAATATTTAAACTTAAAATAAAAAATAAATGAAAAATAAAAGAGAAATATATGAAAAAATGGAATAAAAATTAAGAAGGAAATGAAAAAATACACAAATAAAAGTCTAATATACAGTGGGGTTTTTTTACATATTAACAGGGCATAATTAATTGTAAATTTTACTCACATTTTGCCCTAGCCAAAGGTGGCTTCAAAATGGCTAGGTTTACAGTACCATGTTTGAAGCTGCTAAAGGATGTGATAATTAAAGTTTGGGAGAGTCCATTTTACTGTTATGTTACTAGCTGCTTCCGCATTGGCACGAAAATTCAGACAGGATGGGGAATGCCATAGCAAGAATTATCTTACAGTGTGGTATGTTTCAGCAAAATAAAATGACTGAAAGTCACAGTAAAATTGTTTAGTAAGAACAGAAAAAAATGAAGAAATGCAGAGTAAAACTGAAAATTTACATCTAAAAAAGATGGAGGCCAGAATATATGTACAAGAATTTTTTTTCTTTTTTACAATTTAATTACAAAATAAGCAAAATTAAAAACACCCCAGACATCCTTTCTTATATTTTATTCACTATTTTCTAAAATACACTGGGAATGAACATCAAATTTAATCTTTAACCTAACAAGTTATGATAAGCTCATCCGAAACCATGAAGTAGGGTAAGAAAGGATGTCTTGTTGAAATTAAAAATTTGCATACTTTGTAATCAAACTGTAAAAATTATTTTTTTATATATTCTGGATTCTGTCCTTTCTAAATGTAACAGATTTTTTCCTTTTGCATTAACTTTCAGCCTCAGTTAATTATAAAATCATCAGTTTTACTCTGCATTTCTTCATTTTTACCTTATCAGTTTTTATTGATTTTCTGTCATATTCTGCTGAAATATGTCACACAGTAAGAAAATTTGCGCCCCATCCTATCTCAATTTTCAAGCCAATACTGAAGCAGCTAGTAACATAACAGTAAAATGGACACTCCCGAGCTTTAATCATGGCAACCCCTTGGCAGCTTCAAGCAGGTTACTGTGAATGCACCATTTTGAAATCACCTTTGGTCAGGGTAAAATGTAAGTAAAATCTACAATTAATTTTGGCCTATTGATATGTAAAAACCGACTGTTTATTAGACTTTTATTTGTATATTTCTTTCCTTTCATTTCCTTCTTAGTTTTTATTCCATTTTTTTTCATATATTTTTACATTTTTTAAGTTTAAATATTCTTCTTCATAAACACTAACTTTATTTTTTTTCATTTTTGAAATTGTCTACCATCGTCTCAGAGAATTTTTTCACATTTCTGAAATTATTTAAGATTTAGTTTCAGATTTTATAAATTTGATTAGAAAATTTAAAATTGGAATAGAGATTTTGTCCAAAAATGCAAGAAGACGAAGTGCGATCTTCATGAATTATTGGTGATCGTATAGGGAGATTCCAATTCCCCTTGAAAAGTCATGATGTTTCTGTGGAATCAACAATGATGCTCCTTTTGATTGTTTAAATTTACTTTTTATTAATTTAGCACTTTAATTACCAATTCCAGTTTAATTAATTACAAATTCCAAGTTTTGATTTCCACAACAGTAGACATTTAAATTATACTTCACATTTCCTAGGCGATAATTTTTCATTTATACATTCTCTATTTTATGTATATATATATGAATAATCATTAACTTTCTAAAGAAAGTTGAGAAACATTACAGTAAATATACTGGTGAATAGCATATTGTGTTATATGGTATTACACAGTATTACAGCGTTATAAGTCACAAGGTATTCTCTCCCTCTTTTTTGAATGCCTTTGTGGTGTAATTAAAGCATATTCCACATATATCTGAGACGTCCAGGGTTCAAGTCCCAGCAAGGGCATTGCACATTTTTCTTGTCTCCCACTTAAAAAAAAAAAAACTTAATGACTCTACAAGTGGCGCCCAAACTAAAATATGGTGGACGATAATTTGTGACCAACATGATTTGTTGATAGCATCCCCTATTTCCTAGTCGCCCTTTAAAAGGGGTAGTATATAAGGTATTTCCTCCCTCCTTTCAACATGCCTTCATGGTGTAATTAGAAGCATACTCGATGCATATTCGAGAGGTCCAGGGTTGAGTCCCAGTAAGGACCATGCACATTTTTCATGTCTCTTACTTAAAAAAAAAATAATAATAATAATAATTACTCTACAAGAATCTAAAAAAAACTACTAACACCTGAATTTTTAGAATGTAAAAAGCTAACTACATCTGAATTATTACATTATACTAAATGTTTAGGTGCTAATATAAATGTTTTGAATGTGCTAAAAAAAATTCATGAAGGATATCCCAGTTGAGTAGTAATATAGGCTTACTAATGCATATAGCTCATAAACCATATAAATCATGAAATCATAAAATTTCTATCTTTGTCCCACATTTTATTTTGCTTACCCCCAAAGATACATTCATGTATTTTAAGAAGCACTTTTGCTTCACCAAAACGGTTAGTACTTTTCAGTACCAGTACAGAACACCGGTCAAAAATATGTGCCTAAATGCTAAATGTGGTAGCCTGTGTATTTCACCTCATGAGTAATTATGCAATGCCATCACTATGAATAAGTGGAAAGAATGAACATGAATCCATTAAATTTCCCTCCAAGATTTTCTGTTACATTTTTTGCTAACAAACTATTATTATTTTCTTTTCTTCTCTTCAAAGGAAAAAAAAAAAAAAAATATGAATTAACACAGTTTGACAGATGCTGAATGAAAACTGCAGGTTAGACACAAAAAGGCCTATCTCCCCTTTTTTCTTTACTAATTTATTAGCCCTATGAGTACAAAAATTTCTTTTCTGGGAATGTTAATAATTTATGAAGTTTAATATCTATCTAACAAACATCGGCTGTCATTCTGGCTTCAAATATTCATACTTATCCGAACTACCGAGATCAGTAATTTTACCATACATTTATTCAATGGAGCTCTCAGCTAATTTCCATTTTTACCTGTCACCAACCTATATGCATAGGTGAGGTAATGTTTTCAGTTCAAATATTCACTAGCAAGTTTTCAATGAGCAGTAAAAATTAGGATACCCAGAACATGATTTTACCATTTTTAGAATGATATAGAATGATTTCTGCCTGTGCGTATGTGCATGACCTTTTTCCGGGGAAGGAGGGGGGTTGCCCATGATAACTCTTACATGAAACTTCCAAAAATTTCCATTTTTCATATTTAAGCATTCTGCATTCATATAAAGAGTTGATTAGATTTTGGATAAAATTGGGGAATATGACATGGTACCTTACTTGAAGCCCATAACAGTTTTTAATAGACAACCAGAAATGGCATTTTACTTGAAACCCATAAAAGTTTTTAATGAAAAACCGTATTATACTATAATCTAAAACTTTCTAATTTTAGTATTTAAGACTTCTATATTGATGGGAATAGCATACTAGATTTCGGTTGAAAGTGATAAAAGTCATACTATACTTAAAGCTCTGAAGAGATTTTCATGAAAGTGTATATGACATAATCCAAAACTTCTCACATTTGCTATTTAATAGTACATGGTTGACAACAATATATTACATTTACAAGCATGAAATGTATTCTTGGAATTATGCCAAATGCAATAAGAATAAGCTCACTATGAAGATAAGCCCTTGTTACGAAACAAATGTATTAGCCTCAACCCTCAATTTTGTGTTCATTTCACTTGTGTCAAATCTACCAAATGTTGTCACTACACATTATTTTTATAGAACTAATATAACAAATGTAAATAGTATAACGAATATTAAAAAAGTAATAAAACGTTACACTCTGTTGGAAACTCTAAGGCTATGTGATGCTTTTAATGATTTTGTAACATTGCATAAGTGCCAAGATTGTGATGTTCAATAAATAAAGCTAAAAGGACAAATAAAAAGCTGCCATCTTATTAGGAAACTGAACATTGATATCATGAACTGAGAAAAGACTGGAAGAAAACATAGAGCAACACTTAACACTCTACCAGGAGTTCTAAAGATATCTCCTTTTAAAAAGTTTGTGATGGGTAAGTCATCGATTTATGAATCTGAAATACTACATGACCAGAGGGTATACTACAATCAACATATTTTCAATTGAAGCATGAGAATGGATTCATACATGAGTACTTATAATTATCAGTCTCCCTTACATGGGAGAATAGAATAACAAACAAATAGTTTTTATCATTAACGAACCATGAAGTTTGTAATTATATTAGATTTTATTTATAAATGATCCACTAATTCCATTTAGTTAAAACTCGTCG